AGTGTAGAGAGCATTCATTTACGCAAGTAGTTTTATTTGTTTTTATATTGGTGCATAATAAATATTCTTCCTGTGTTAGTGCAGTTAAATGAATACTTGGTGTATTATAAAAACAGAATCTATTAAATTATCTCTAAAAGCAGGTGCAACACCAACAGACCCTTGTCGTCGGCAGGCAGGATCAAACTGAAGACCTCTGGAGCTTAGCGCATGAACCTGTACCGCAGGAGTGGGCAAACTATGGACCGCGGGCTGGATCCATCCCCTCAGGGCTTTGGATGCAGCCCGCGGTGCCACCGGCACCACGTCCCTGTGGCCCCTGGGCAGGGGGGCAGAGGGCTCCATGCGTTGCCCTTGCCTTCAAGCACCGCCCCTCGCAGCTCCGGTTGGCCGGGAATGGGGAACCATGACCAATGGGAGCTTCAGGAGAGGTACCTGGAGGCGTGGCAAGGGCAGTGCACACAGAGCCCTCGGTCCCTCCTCCCCCAGGGGCCACAGCGCTTCCGGGAGCAGCACGGGGCAGGGGACAGGGTAGGCCTGCAGGGAGCCTGCCCTGGCCCTGGTGCGTGCCACTGTCACCCTGGAGTCGCTTGAGGTAAGCGGCGCTGGGCTGGAGCCCGAACCCCTCCTACACCCTGCCCCCCAACTCCCTGCCCTAAGCCCCCTGCCTGCCCCTCGCATCCCTCCTGCACCCCAATCCCCTGCCCTGAGCCCCCTCCTGCACCCTGAGCCCCCCTGCACTCTGCACCCCAATCCCTTGCTGTGAGCCCCCTGCCACACCCAGCACCCCAACCCCCTTCCTTGAGCACCCTCATGCACCCCACACCCTTCCTCTGCCCCCAATCCCCTTGCCCTGAGCCCCTTCCTGCACACCGCACCCTCTCCCACATCCTGCACTCCCTCACACACACCAGCCTCCTGCCCCCCGTCCCTGCATACAATTTCCCCACCCAGGTGTGGCCCTCGCCCCAAAAAGTTTGCCCACCCCTGCTCTACCACATGAAAGCCAATTGGCTCTTAGCTAAGGCTGTAGAGCAGACTCATTTAACTCTCTCTAAGTGGTCTCAGTGCCACTAGATGGGACACAACACCGCACCCAGCAGGTGTGTGGGTTACATACCTCCCCTAGCTGAGGAAATGTGTCCTGAGCTTCAGAGTCTTCCCAGCTGAAACCCCGGAGGAGCCCCCACTTGTAATGCCAACAGACTCCAGTCGTCGTCGGGCAGGATCGAACTGGGGACCTCTGGAGCTTAGTGCATGAGTCTCTACCTCATGAAAGTCAACTACCTCTTAGCTAAGGCTGTAGACCAGACTCATTTCACACACCCCATCCCACTCCACTCCACTAGATGGGACACAACACCACACCCAGAAGGTGTGTATGTTACACAGGCTTGTTAAGGTCTCCCTTCAGTAGCACCCTTTCATTACTTACTTTTATTAATTAGTTTTAGAATGCAACAGTTTAAATCCTTGGAAAAGCCACAGGCTAGCGAGGTGGAGCTTGCTGGCTAATGGGGAAAAAATCACAAATAATTATCTGTTGAAAAAATTGCCAAAGTCTGTAATTAATTTGAAGTGATTTTATTCAACTAACTCTGATAGAAAAAGAGAAAATGATAGATGATGATGTTAATCCAACTCAGTGCAAGTTATGCTGTCATGACAAGTCTCTTGATCAACTGCAAACACCCTATCTGTTTTCCAAGCACTGTTTGTCGGACAGGACATCGTTAGGTATTATTTTCCTCTCCCTGACGTTGATGTAAATTGGGTGTAATTCCCTTGGTTTTGTGGAGATACACTGGTGTGAAATTGTTGAGAGGAGAATCAGGCCCAATATTTGCAAGGGAAGGTTAAGTGCAAGCTCGTATTGAAGGGAGAGAAGGTTGGCCCCACACCACAAATAAATGACCACAGTGGATTTTCTTCAGAGACATAAGCTTGGGCAAACCTGAATTTATGTTGCCATGTGTTCGCAGATAATTCCTCTAGATTTGTCAGTGAAAGCCTACGTATCCGTTCCAAAGAGATTCTGGTTTGACTTGGAAGAGTGGAAGAATATTGCCATGGTATTTAGCGATCTCTATTGT